CTTGCAGCGTCCGTTACACGCCACAGACTGTTCCTCAGGGTGTTCCAGCAACTGGTCTTCAATGGAGCAGGTCAGGTCACACACAGCATCTGCTTAGAAAATGAAACGAAGTGTTCAAAAACTCAGTAAGGAATCCAATATCACCCTTCACTTTTTCTTATTAAAAAATATACGTAGAGTATAGGTATGTACTGTTCTGCAGCTAAATCTAACCCAAGCAGGCCCACATATTTCCCCTTCCCTAAACTGGTACTCCACTGACTATCTGAACTACATTACTGCTTATTTCTCTACCTAAGCATTCAAAACTTTAACTTAGTCTGTAAGACCTTAACAAAACGGGCATAATTTTACTTCTCACATTTGCATTTTGTGCCAAAACAATGGCAGATTCTTACAGAGTTAAAAATGAAAGTATTGGGAGAACTCTAAGAATTATAAAGATCAGTTACAGAAAAATGAGAACAAGTTTCCTTCCGAATTCAGTGTCCCCTTTATTTTCACACGTGAGACTGAGGTTTCCTCACATCTTCACAGTATTTAGTTCTTTCTACTTCTGGTAAGCTATTGATGGCAAACCTTTTAGAAGAATACCCAAAATCTACTTATTTACCACAAAGTGCCCACACTGCAATTCACCCCAAATACTTGAGTTTTAATTCAGAAAAAAACAACTCATCTTTTGTCTTAAAAGAAAAACAAATAACACATGTGCCACAGATTCACCACCAGTGCTCTACTCCATACAAAACTTTTCACAATACTCATGCATAGCAGCAAGGTTCAACATTCACAAAAGAAATAGCACATAGTATGGCTGCGGAGATGGCTCAGTAGAATAAGTGCTTCCCTGGCAAGCGCAAGGACCTGAGTTCAATCCCTGGTTCCACCAAAAAAGAAAAGGGGGGGGGGAAGCACATAGAATAATAATTGCATCTTGGCTTTTAAATTAATTCAGTTTAACTAATTTCATGTTTCAAGAACTCCACAGAAGTGAACTCTTTACAAAATATGTTCACCTGTTCCTATGTAACTATCACAGTTCATATAACAAGCCTTACTAGAGTCAGTGTTAGGTAACCAAACCAAATCCCACATAAGAAAGACTTCTACAGAGTACAAATTCACTTGCCTGCTTCAAAGTTGTCCTGAAGTTTTCGTGGATGCAGTTTCTTTTCACATTTCTATTTAAAAACACAGTTATTTTCACTTATTAAAAAAAAAAAAAATCAGAAGATAAAATATCAAATTTCTCAAGAAAAAACAACAACAATAAAAATCACCATTTCCATTATTTCACTGGGTTTTCTGTTTCCAAGCCTAAAACTTTTGATTCTGATTACAGAGGCACCAGAAAAGAAAAGGAAAAAATGAAATTTTTCATTACATTTCTCATCCCACAAATAAATGCTATCATTTATTTTCCCCATGAAGGCACCTATGATTAGTTTCATAAAGTTATACAGCTCCCAAATGGAATTGAAAAGTATGTACTATTGTTATTTTTTGTTTGCTTTTACAGTGCTGGGGATCAAACCCAGGGCCTCCCACATACTAGCAACCAGCTCTACCACTAACTATATCCTTACTAGTTCTATAGCCTTTATAAATGCTGAGATGTTTTGAGTGAAATACTTTTTAAATAAATGCAAATCTACACAGTCATTTTTACTGACTTAGTAGCAGCATCGTAGGCTATTTCATAGATCCACAACACTACGCTTTCAACATCCTCTTGGATCTTTACATTATTCCCATGTTTTCACTAATATGAATAATACAGAAATGATGACAGTAATTTGACTTCCTCTTCCAGGAAAATAAGATAAGCAGTTTTCTAGATTTTTGAGGCACCCAACTCCTCTCTAGACAGATGTACCAACTAGTAATTACAATTTGCCAATATACTCAATACCGTATAATCTTCTTGTGCCTATTTGATGAAAATTATATCCTATTTTAATTTACATTCTTTGAGTACACATATGGTTTAATACTTTTTATATATCAATCATTTATTCATTTACAAACTACTTACATACTTGGTTTTTAAAACTTAAAATTTACTTGTCTTTCTAGAAAAATCTGAATCCTTTGTGAAGTTTCCCTCAAAATCATGAGGATCTACATTGACAGAATTAAATTTACACATCAATTTGAGGAGAATTGGGGTTGGTGAGATGGCTCAGTGGTCTAAAGCACCTACTTAGAACCAGCTTAGCAAAGCTGAGGGACCGCGGTTCAATCCCCCAGCACCACATGCCAGCCAGCCCCGCCCCCTGGTGGGCTGAGCTGGCCACACACACACGCACACACACACACACACACATTTAAAAAATTAAAAAAAAAATTGAGGAGAATTAACATTTGTACAATATTATCAATAAGAAACTATTTCTCTAGCTTTTGTTAGAAACAGGTATTCAATTTTTTTTTCAGGTATTCAATTTTAACAAGACTTAAGACTGTCCTTTGTCCTCAATACTGTTATCAGAGCACAGTGAAATAAAAGAATGTATGCTAACATGTTAATAGGTGGCATCATTATACCTCAAAAATACCACCCAGAGAATTCATATAATGCATTTTTCTAAAAGTCTGAAGTTACTACTATTGTCTACTTTATTAAAGAAACAAAACAAAAATGAATGAAACTATCAAAAGAAAATCCAACATACAAATATTACAGCTTACAAAAGAGATAAGTGAGGACACTACTAGGCTATCATTATTTTCTAGAGCATATGCTAAACAGAAGAATGAAAGAAAATGCTGTAAAATAGTGTTAACTATTTGGGTTTAGACCTAGTCTGATGACAATGACACTATAAGTGCTTCATTTTTAATCAGCTTAAATTTAAAAATGAAACCGTAAAGGTCTCTAAAATTTTCAACTTCATTAAGATAATGGCTACAAAGAAGTTGATCTCATGGAATGGTGGTCAGCAGAAGAGGGGACAAGGAGGATGGGAAGAAAATGATCAATCTGTGCTTACTTACAGCTAGAGGGGAGTAAGAAGCATAGAGAACTACTACCACAGCAGACTCAAAATAATGTCCAAAAAAAAAGGAATGTGTTTTAACTCAAAATATACTCATATGAAAAGCAAAAATTAAATGTGCAACTGAGCAAATATCACAAACCTGCAATTAAGAGTGGCCATTACATTCAGTGAATGAGTGTAATAGTGCATAACTTAGTTCCATTAAAAATCCTGTCACTATGTCATTTAAAACAAGAACAAACCTGGTACCATTAATGTGCAGGAACAATGACCTTGCTCCCCCCTATAAAAAGGAAGAACTGCCTGCACAAAGCTGGTGCTGAACTTACCATCAAAGGATTCTGCTGCTTTGCTGGCTGACTATGGGTCCCGTTTGTTCTCTTTTTTTGACTAGGTGAGTCCTGATACTGTTTTCTGCCATTTC